TCAATGGCAGATACATCTCTGGCAGAACATCTCCAAACATCTCTGGCAGAAAGTCTTCCTCGTTGTCTGCTACCTGATCCTCTTTGTTGGAAATATCACAGATCCACCTTCTGTGTACAAAACATGTGCTATGCCAGTTTTTACTGAGTTATTACTACAGGGTATAGGATCTTTGGCTACACAGACAGACATTTCCAGGACAAAAGACCTCACCAAATTAAGACTTTTAGTTCTTACAACTAGGGAGACAGAAGGAACATCCTTGCTCACCTCAATGGTGGAAGCCTTGAGTAGTGCGATCTGGTCTTCCCGTGAGAGCTGCAGGAAGCCGGGTACTTGCTTGGCAAAGTCCACAATCTCTTGCACTGAGATGATGGCTAACTCTGTAAAGTGGGCAAAGCGCTGCTGGCGTGCCTCCCGGCTGTTGGGGTCACTGCCCATTGGCCAGGGCTGGGAAGTGGTGGGAAAAATTAGAGACAAGGAAGAAAAAGGGGAATGAGTTTGGTTTAGTATACTTTATGGCTAGAAATCATGGAAATCACAGTCCAACATATCTGGAGAGCATCAGGACATGAAAGGCTGTTCTAGAAAGCCACTAAGACTGTTAGCTGCCTTTGCCACAGTACTAGCCTTGAAACTAGTCAGGACTTTAAACCAGCTTAGAAACATAGTTTAATTTCCTGGCATGTTCCAAAGCTGGCAACTAAAGTTTCTTGGATTGATTAAAATGGGGAATTATGATCAATTAGTGGCTTCCTGGTTTAATTGGGTCCTGAGAGGAGGAGGGCTCATTTATCCCTTGGCTTATTTGCCAGCAATATAATCACCCTCCAGCCCTGTTTACAGGTGTGTGTGGAATCCTTGGGGTTCTCTAAGCTTAGTTGTTTTCTTGCAGATGTTGTTACCCGGCTAGGTAACATCTTCAGTGCTAGAAGGGCGTGGGGTTTGCTTTCTGTTTATACACAGTAGCTTGCTCTGACAGTGTTGGTGGGGGTGTTGTTTTCTCCTTGGTAGTTCCTTGATTAGGCTGTTGTTTACTGCTTGATTGTTTGTCTGGTGTTAAACTTGGTGTTAATCCCTGTTTATCTGGGTGTGGATTGCTGGTGAGGTGTTCTGGTCTTTTTGCTTCCTTTTTATTGTCTCTTTTGAATAGTAAATGTTGTTTATCTCTATGTGCCCGTTGATGGCTGACTTGTCTGAATACTTGTGGCAGTATTCAGAATTCTTGGTATTTAGACAAGTCAGCCATCAACAGGCACATAGAGATAAACCACACTACACTACACACTATTTACACACTATTCAAAAGAGACAATAAAAATGTAGTTCTCCAGCAGCTGGAAGGCCTGAGGTTTCCCTCCTCTACCAAGGACACCAGGCAAGGCATTCAGGGCTTCAGAAGAATAAAACTCTCATATTCCACTTAAAATGTGCAGGCTTTAAAGATCAGTAGCCACTGCGAGATTTTGGGAGGCTTTTGGGAATGAAGGGAGAGGAACCATGTTTAAATTTAACTTCTCTCTCTCTCTCTCTCTCTCACACACACACACACACAAACACACACACACACTTACCGTGACTTTGGGTTGATCGCTAAAGCTCCTCTTGTTGCACTGCTGTTGGGCCGCCACCAGCTGCTGGATCATGCCCTCCTGCTGGGGCGTAAGAGGAGCTGGCTCAGGCTGGGATAAAGCAGGGTCACAGGGCAAAGGAGGTACTCGAAGTATTTCGTCTCCATCTCTCTCCCCAGCCGGCACCCCATCACCCTCGTGTTTACGGATCTTCTTCTTGCGGATCTGCTCTTCTGAAAGGACACCTGGAGATAGAGAGGCAGGCAGAAGGGCATGAAATGAGAAGTTCTCAAAAGTCCAACAGAGAATTCCAGATGTGCTGATGTCATTCCTTAGCATTCTGAAGAACCATCTTTCTCAGCTCTGGAATGCACAGCCCAGATAGATTTATCTTTTGCCTCATTACTATTTTCTCTCAGACTACAATCCAAATCCATCCTGTTGGCCCAAACCTTCACACCTTCAGCTTTTTCCTTTTCAGTTTTTATAATCTGAGAGTTTCTTGATGACAAAAATGAGAACCGCTTGGCCCACCAAATGTGAGCCGTACTACAACTCCCACCATTTCTCACTAGTGGTCTTCAGCACCATCTGGTGGGCCACAGGTTCCTCCCTTCTGCAGACCGTACAGTGTCCAATCTTTAAAGGTCAGTGAAGCTTTAAAATTCTGGGGGCAAATTTTGCACATGCAAAACATCTCCTTCCGTCCAATATTTATTCACTGGGCCAGTGTTTCTCAACCTTGGGAACTTTAAGATGTGTGGACTTCAACCCCCAGAATTCCCCACCCCGCATTCGTGGCTGGGGGGGGGGGTGGGGGGGGGGGGCCGCCACTTCTAAAATCACCCAGCGTTGATAACCCACTCCCACGCCAATAAA